GAGGCAGGTGAGGGAGAAGCAGCAACTGGGTGCTGGGTACTGGAGTCCAATAGGGTGAGAAGGGCATGCAGGTGGGAGGGCAGCCTGGCAGAGGCATGTCAGGGTCCTAGAAGCTGAGAAGGTGTCTGTGTAGGCAGGGGTGGTGATAGGGTACATACAGGGCACTTTAATATGTGAAGGTGTTGAGGGTAGTGGGAGTTAAGTTCCTCACCGTTAGGGAAGGGAGTTACAAATGTGGAAAGGGAGAAAGCAGGTGAACTTGTGGTTGTTGGTTTGTGATGAGCGATATTCCTGTGAGCTTATAGTTTTCAACATGCATAGATGGATAGGTATTGAAATACAGATTTGCGTGTGTGTACATACGTGTACGCCCTAGCTCTATCACCTGAGAGGGCCTGGTCATCGCAGGAGACAATGGCAATGAGCATATCTATTGCTCAGATCTTGATTTCTAAGGGCCACTCTTGGCTGGGGATTTGGGTTAGCAGTGGAACACTTGCCAAGGCATGCAGAAGGTCCTGAATTTGATCCCCCGTACCATATACACACACAAATAAACTAAAGACAACTCTCTACTAAAAGAATACAGAAGCGGCTGCTTCAAGACCTGAGGTTTCTTCTTCTTTTTTTTTTTTTATGCAGTGATGGAACTCAGGGCCTTAGGAGCACTCGGCAAGCACTCTGTCACTGAACTCCATCTCTATCCCCTGGCATATCTTCTAACAATAAAGTTGCATAAGTCATCATGACAGTAATGGATTAAAACACACTGAATAAAATAGAACCTCGAATCAATATGCTATAAATAACTAAATGAATAAATTGAAAGATTGCTGAAGAATAGGATATCTGCATAGTCTCAAAGTGCCTCCTTATGGAAAACATATTAACTACAGAGGGAAGAGTGTAGTTTTCCATTGGAGGAGTCTGGCAGACACCACCTTAGTCAAGTGATACATTCGTATCACTAATAATAGATCCGGGTGTAACAGGAACACAGCATCGTTTCTGTGATATTCCTGGCAAAGATGATGCATGACCTGAATCTATTCATGAGGAAACATCAAACACACAAATATAATCCATCACTCTCTCTCTCTCTCTCTCCTTTCATGTACACACATTAGGAATGTTTTTCTTTTTGAGTCAGGGTCTTACTGTAGAACTCAAGCTGGCCTGGAATTTTCTGTAGGGCCCAGCTGGCCTTGAACTTGAGATCTTCTTGCCTCAGTTTCCTGAGTGCTGGGATTCTGGGTGTGCCTGCCCTCCCATGCCTGGCTGGGAAATTTGTCTTTGCCATTGACTTCTTTTATATGCTACAGCATTCCAACTCTAGAATCTAATCTTTTTTTTTTGCAGTACTGGGGCTAGAACTCAGGGCCTACACCTTGAGCCGCTCCACCAGCCCTTTTTTGTGATGGGTTTTATCTAGATAGGGTCTCTCGAACTATTTGCCTGGGCTGGCTTTGAACCATGATCGTCCTGATATCTGCTTCCTGAGTAATCCTAGTTTGAGCTAAGATTACCAGCTTGAGTCACTAGCGCTCAGCTTTAGAATCTAATCTTATAGAAGGTTTGAAAAGTTAAATCTTCAAATATCTACCATATCTATCTATGACAATTACTTAAAGAATGTAATTTGAAAATATCTGAACCTAAACCTCATTCACAAAAGAAATGTTCAGACATTAATTTTTTCAAAAGTGACACAAATGGTGAAAATACCGACTTATTTTGAAAAAAATTGAAGAGTCTTAATAGGGGAAGTCAATATTTACCCACGTAAGACATGTTAACATAGTATGCAACACAATCAAGTGACCACAAAAACAACAAATCATTTATTCATATTCTGCACGGTCTGAAATAAATTCTCAAGCTGGCTGGGATCTGTTGCTGGCTGGGATCTGTTAGGAAGAACCATGGCCTTTTTCTTTTGTAAGTCAGTGATACTCAACACCTTTTTCACTACTCAGACTCGATGATGCCGAATCAGTGACTGGAAATAACTTCTTTGCTATATAGAATTCCTTAGTGGGTCATTTCTACCTGGAAACATTTTTTTTTCTCTAGATTTCTCAGACACCCAATCTCCTGATTTCTTTCTTCATTGATTACCAAATCTCCTTTCTTTTGTGGACACCTGTCCTCCAGCTGACCATTATAGGTAAAAATGTTCCAGAGCTCAATACTCCTGCTCCATCTACACTCCTGCTAAGTGGGGTCCTCCAAGCACGGCTTTATCTGCCCTATACATACTCATGGAATTTAAAATTTAATTGCCAGCTTAGATTTCTCTGCTGGTTTCCAAATTTGTATATCCATATTTTGAATTAACCTCTCCACTTGTATGTCTAACCAGCATAGCAAACAGGACAATAAATATAGAGCTATTAAGTTCTCATCATCTCCCTCCCTAAAGCCTACCTCTCTTGAGTTAGAAGTGTGAATACCTATTATTTATCATTTGTTATCTTGTTAAAAACCTTGGAATCTTATCGATTTCTGTTTCCTTAAAATTCACAGTCAATCCATCAGTAAGTATGCTTATCTTTGCCTCTAAAATACAGCCTAAAACTGACGTCTCTTCATTCTTTCCATTTTGGCAACCTTGGTTCAAGACACATAGGCTATGGAAATAGCCCTCTAAATGTCATCTGGTGTCTACTCTTTCTGTAAAAGCAGCAGCTGGAATAATCTGTTTGAAGTGTGAAGTTTAAAAGAATTGCTTACCTACTTAAAATACATGATACATGTATGCTACAAGCCTCTTGAACCTTATCAGTCTTCCCACTCTACTCTTGTTTATTTGGCCTATATTAGCTCTCTATTACTGCTGCTGCAAATTACCATGAACTTTAGTGACCTAAAGAATACAGATAATTCTTGTACAGCTTTGGAGATCAGAAGTCTTAAAATCAAGGTGTAAATAGGGCTGAGTACTTTCTGAGGCTCTGTGTGGGAATTCATTTCTTTGCCTTTTCTATTTTTCAAAGGTCACCTGTTTGTCTTCCATCTTCAAAGCCAGTGATGCGTATGTTTTGTTATCTTTCTCTGACTTTCATGCCTCCCTTTTTTTTAAGAAGCCTTCTGATTATATTAGGTCCAGATAGATAATTCAAGATAATCTCTCATCTCAAGATCTGTACTAAAACCCATCTGCAAAGTCCCTTTAGTCATTGAGGTAGCATATTCACACGTCCCAGTGATCAGGATACAGATATCTTTTGGGAAGGCATTGTGCAGCCTACTGCAATGCTTCAGCCCCATTGACCTTCTTTCTAGTCTCGGTCTCACCCAATTCATTCCTATCTCAGAGTCTTTGTCCTTATTACTTGTTCTGCTTAGGATGTCCTTCTCAATCACCATATGGCTGACTCTTGCTCAAGTACCACTCAAGAGAGGGCTTCCCTTAGTACTTCAGACAAGGAGGCTCTCTCACTCCCTCTCACTCTTTCTTATACCACCTTATTTTTTGTTCCTCATAGCTCTTCTTTGTTTCTGAAAATATATGACTCATTATTAGAGGGGATTATTTCCCCCTCTTGTCTGATTTCCAGGAGGATGGCATTTTCTTCAATACTCCTGACCTTTTCTTTTCTCCTCCCTACAAATGGAAAGTGGTTTTTTGGGGAGTAGGTGTGAAGAGGAACTGAACAGGAGTAGAGGAGACCCTGCTGCAGTCTTCCTTTTTGAGCTCTGCTTGCCTGCAGAGAATACTTGTTTCCAACTAGTTTCAGCCACATATAATAATAATAAAGTAAAGATTTCTCTTTCTAGCTGCCTGGCTATGGGGAGAGAAGGACTTAGGGGACAGGTGATTTATTTGGAATTTTGAATTGAGGATCAACCTAAATATTTAGAAATATTGTTGGACTCTTACCACGATTCCCATGACCTTGGCCAAGGAAAGATTAATGATGGGGCTCAGACTAATTAATAATTAATGATGATGCCTCAGACTGGCCACTCCTCACAGCTGGCCCTCTGTTCCCAGCCACGCTCAGGGCTTAATCATCCTCCTAAGGCTCCCTCAATGTCACACAAGGGATTTTGAGGTTCCCTTCCTTGCACTCCTAGATCTTAGTGAACTAGCACGGAGGCAGAACAACACAGAGGTGTGGAGAGGGAGATTTTGAAACCTCCTTGTGTTGTCCATAGCTGCAGTTTTGGCTTCTGGTGGGTGGGAAGTTGTCCTATCCAAACATAGTTCTGACTTCGCGGACTCCAGCTCATACTAACTGTTGTGAAGTCTGGTATATTGTCATAAAGCAGCCATCATGGAGGAAATTGACACTTGCACTTTGATTGTTAGCAAGTTGCTCACAATTTTGATTTCTACATTTATTACATAGCATCATTCTAGTATTGTTTCTATTTCCTATACCTGATTTCCAGCTTCTTAAGATGACTGTTCTTGCAGGGCACTTGCTTCTCCTAGAGTACAAAGTAAGGGTCTTCCTCACTAATTGCAGGGTCTATACACACTCGCTGCTACCACTTGTACTGTTGACAGAACAGTTTCCTTATCTTGCTCCGGGTAGTGCTTTATAGGCAAGCATGTAATGTAAAGTATTTCTTTAAATAAAAAGAAAACCTCTAAACTGACTATTGAATTACCTGCCTATAGTTTGATAGTTTGTGACATTTTTTGCCCTTGCTAGTTTTTTCATTACATCCACGCATGATCTAGACATCTGGTTAAGGATTTTAAGTGGACACACCCATGAACCCAAGAAACTGTATTACTATTACTGTAGGTCCTACTAAAATTGAAATACTGACAAGAAACTGTTTTGAACACTGTACATCCTTAGTATTTTTACACGTATGAGATAGGGATTAACATTACTCTCCTTTGTATAGACAGCTTAAATAAAGCACTATGTCAATATACAAAAAAAAAAAAAAAGATGGGAAAGGTGTGAGGATGACATAGAAGGTTGAAGGAGACCTTCTGTAAAATAGGAAAGGTCATTTCTAAGAGGAATGAGGGAAGGTTGGGGCTGGGGACTCCAGGACAGTATAGGTTAGAAAAGAGCTGCAGGAATGATAGGAGAAGGAGTTGCCTGCAGACCATTAATTATCCCAAGCTTGGCATAATGTCTTACACCTAGTAGGTGCTCAAGTCAATGAATTAAGTTAATGAGTAGAGGTATATGAAAGGATTCTTGAGTAGTGCTAATGTGTCAGTCAAGGTTAGAGACCACCTTTCTGCAAAGATGCTTTCTGAGATGTTGAGCTCCATGGCACTGTGGACAGGAAACAGAATTACTTGGTGACTACTTGTGGCTACCAAGTGGGAGGGGCCGAGTCCAACTGCTGAAGAATGGTGGTACAGTCTATCCTAGAAAATGGACAGGATCAACGCAGAAATAAACCTAAGGGGGAAGGAATAGCATAGTTTGAAAGCACTACTGAGACCACTGTGGATGCCTAGAGATGGAAACTTAGTCACACCTGGATTCTAATTATATTACAGAGCAAACCAGAGTTGTTTAAGTTATGATGTAATCTGAGAATAAGTTCAATATGACCTCATTCCAAATGGGTCAGTTTTAATTTTTTGTTGTATTTATGGAATTGAGATTCAGGCTTTCAAGGGAATGAGATAAAGAGATGGAGGTCAATAAAAAGGGTGGGAAAAATAGCTCAAAATGAGTTATGGGCCATTCCATTTTAAAAGAAATGTGTTTCTTAACAGTTGTAAGTAGAAAATAGTCGTAAGAGAAAGATTTAAGTAACTTTCCATTACTTGGCAGTGTTTTTAATTTGGCTACATCTGACTCCAAGAGGGGAGGGAGGAAGCCAGCCCATAATTCTAAAACCAAATTAAAACAATTCTTGAGGCATCTGAAGATTTTGATCTTGGAGGGTAATTGGTTTTTGTTTCAACTTACTCAAATCAATGGGCAGAGTAAAAAAATCACTGCCTGCTGCAAAACATTAGTCTCCAAGCTGTGGGTCTTTGTTTCCATAAGTGCAATTTAAGAAAACAAACAAACAAACAAACAAACCTCTTTCAACCTTCGGCATGTAAGCAGAATGATGTTGTATAATTTATATCACACAGTCCCAACCTCATGCTTTTGGTGGGTGTCCAAGGATACCAGCAACTCAGGGTGCTGACATGCAGTGAAGGACACACATGATGGACCATCCCAACAGAGCTATTCTAGGACACGAGTAGAGCATGTCATTTCCTTTAACTATGGCCTAATTGATCTTGATGTTTTTAGACTCTGCCATTTATTTCAACATTAAATGATAGGCTTTTAAAACCAGACCATTGGGCTTGGTGATCGAGTGGCTTCCTATTAGTCACCTGCCACTGCTTGGGAAAGCCATCTGAGGAAATGTAATGAGATCACCGGGGCAACCTCTTTTCAAGGCTAATTACTCCAGCACACTCTGTGTTGCACTGTTATTTTTAACTTACTAATATTAGCTTTCTTCTTTCTACGGCAACTTGAGTCCACTCAATTTTCCTGACTGTCAGAAACACAAATTGCAATTTAATTTTTTTCTTATTTACTGGAAAACTATAATCCTGATGTCCAGTCCTATTTTCTCTTTTCTGGTTCTTGATTTTCTTACCAAGTAGAGATTAAATATGATAACTGCAAGATGACATTGCAAGAGCAGGCTGGAGACGTTTTCAAGCGGCTCAACCTTTGGAGGTGAAGGCTGTTGAGGAGGGGGGATGGTTTGTATTCCAGTGAGGCAACAGCAGCTTCCCAAATTGTCTTCCTGCTATGCCAGGCCCCTCTCCAATCTGTTGTCTGTCCAGGAGCCAGGGTGATCCTGTTAACGCAACAGTGGGTCTGTCAGCTGCTGTAGTTTGAGTGTGTCTCCCAAAAGCCCTTGTGTTGTAAACATAGTCCCCCAGTCCATATGTTAGTGGTATTTGGAAGCGGGGCTTTAAGAAGACAGTTAGGATGAGGTCATGAGGGTGGAGCCCCCCAATGGCACAGAAGAGGAAGAAAGACTTGAGCTCGGGTTCTTGCTCATCTTGCCATATTATTCCCTCTGCCATGTTACGATATGGCAAAAAGGTCTTCACCAGGTTGGCAGAGTGGCTCAAGTGGTAGAACACCTGCCTAGCAAGTGTAAAGCCCTGAGTTCAAACCCTAGTATCCCTCCGCCCCCACAAAAAAAAAAAAGGCTTCACTAGATATTGAGCAGATACTGGCACCATGCGCTTAGACTTCACAGCCACTAGAAGTTTAAGAAATAAATTTCTGTTCTTTATAAATTGCTCACTCTCAGGCATTTTATTATAGTAGCAGAAAAGTAAGATAGCAGTTTTCTACCCAAGACCCTCCATGGTTTCCATCCTAATATGGTAACCCGTGCAGCCTTGCCTGACCAGTTCTTCACTACCTGCCTGGCCTTGTCTGCTGATACTCTTCACTCACCGACCACTTCCTCCACAGGCTTTTTAACCACTGCTCCTTGAACACACTGGGCCTGCTCCTTTCCCAGCGTGTTGCTCTTGCCCTCTTTTTTAGAAAGTCCCCACAGTCTGTACTCTTACATTCTTTCTTTCTTCTTTTTTTTTTTTTTGTGTAGCACTGGGGCTTGAACTCAGGGCCTTCACCTTGAGCCACTCCAGCAGCCCTATTTTTTTTGTGATGGGTATTTTTGAGATAGGGTCTCAAGAACTATTTACTTGAGCTGGCTTCCAACTGTGATCCTCCTGATCTCTGCCTCCTGAGTAGCTAGGATTACAGGCGTGAGCCACCAGGCCCCGGCTGCTCTCTCATATTCTTAAAACATTCACTCAGCGAGACCCTCCTTGATTACTCTAGTTTAAATTGCATGCAACCCTCCCACCCTACCTGTAACACCCTTTACTACTTCCCTTTGTTACTTTTCTCCACTCCAAGTGTCATCGCCTCTCTTACAACATGAAATACTTTTCAAATGTTTTCTTAATGTCTGATTCTCCTTGCTAGAGTCTAAACTCTAAGTAGGGAAGGAATGTGCAAAATTTTGCTTACTGCTGTATCCCTGCTGCTTAGAAGAGCTACCAAATTTGAAAGAACCAGCAAATTGACGGCCTAACTAGCGTCTCATTTCAGGAAGTCTGCCAGTATACCACAGTACCATTTCTTAATACCCCCCGAGTCTCCTTTATTCAGCAGTGTGCTGGCAAATGTTTAACAACTAACTCTGCAGAAAAACAAGAGAACTCTGATTTGTAGCGTTAGCCAAATTCCATGATGTAATATTCCCGTAGCATCTAGCTTCAGGCCTCCAATAGCAGTGAAGTGGGGAAGAAATGCCCAGTAGCACACTCTAGAGAAAACATCTAAACCGCTGGGCACTGGTGGCTCATGCCTGTAATCCTAGCTATCAGGAGGAAGAGATCAGAAATATCACGGTTTGAAGCCAACTTGGGTAAATAGTTTGTGAGACTCTGTCTTGAAAAAACCCGTCACAGAAAGGGCTGGAGATGTGACTCACGGTGTAGGCCCTGAGTTCAAACCCCAGCACCGTAAAAAAAACCCTCCAAAACCACACCCAGACCAAAAGAGTGCAGATGAGGGTAAAGGAGTAAAACAATTAGGAAGGAATGAGATTGTAGTGTATACTATTTTTATTTGTAACATAATTTAACTGTGAGTTTTATAACAATTTTTTTGAAGTGCTGGGGATTAAACCCAGGGCCTTGTGCGTATGAGGCCAATGCTCTACCACCGAGCTATATCTCCAGTTGTTATAAGTCAATTAGAAAAAATGGCTGTGCCTAATGGCTGTATCACAGTACCTGAGAATTTAACAACTGACCCTTACAAGCCAGCTCCAGCACAATGCTGCTTTGTCACCAAGCATTATAATGGCCTTCTGTCTACGTTAGTATTGCCACTTTTGTCTTTACATATACTTCTGGTAGTCAGGAAGCTCTGAAATTTTTTTTTTTTTGTGGAGGTTCTATAACTCTTTGAAACTATGGACTATTTTCCAGAAAAATGAACATATGTGCATACACACAAACTATTTTAAATAGTTCACTCTGTTTGTAGACAGTACCTCTACTCCCTCTTCCTTGTCACCCCAGCCAAGATGAGTCCTGGGACCCAGGTTAAGCATATCTGCTTTAACCAGACCTCTAGCTCTAGAAAGCCTTTATTTCCATTAATCACTGCGTTGCTTCTTCCTCCATAGAGGGAAAATACTCATGATCTGCGAGGCAATAACATTTCTGCTTATGTTATCTGGGAGGTTCTTCCTCAATTACCCATAACTGCTCATCTTCCAAACTTGGCTGAGAGCAAAGACTTGTTTAACTCTTGGGGCTGCCTAAGGAGCTCTTCCCTCTCTGAAACACTACCCCTTGTGGTCTTGTGACAACTGCCTACCCCAGCTCAGGTACTGCCTAGTACTGTTCTGGAATCCTTTCATGCTGGAATTCTATCCTAACTGAATGTTGGCGTGCCTCCCCACTGTCTCCCATAGCCTCTGTTCACGCCTCATCACTGGAAAGCCATGTGGTTGCTGGCTTTTTCCCTTTCTGCAGGGCAGTGTTAAGCATAGAAGTTCAAGTTCATGCTGTGGTTACGTGGCTTTTCTTTTCTTTTTGAATTGAGATATAATTCACATGCCATAAACTTTATTTAAAAGCGTACTTCAGTGGACTGAGGTATATTTGCAATGTTGTACAGCCATCACCACTACCTAGTGCAGAACATTTTTTGACACCACTAAATGAAGCCCTGTGTCTGTTAGTAGTCTCTTCTCATTTTCTTCTCCTGTCTCTGGCAACTACTAATCTACTTTATCTCTCTATTGATTTGCCTATTCTTAACATTTCAAGTAACTGGAACCGTACAAATATCTGGCTTCTTTTATTTAGCCTAATGTTTTCAAGGTTCATTTATATTGTAGTGTATCTCAATACTTCATTCCTTTGTATGGCTGAATAATATTCTATGGTATAGATATGTCACAATTTGTTTATCAGTTGATGGAATGGATCTATCTATCTATCTATCTATCTATCTATCTATCTATCTATCATCTATCTATCAGTACTGGGGTTTGAACTCAGGGACAGTGAGCATTTCTTCATGTGTTTTTTGGCCATTTGGACTAGCAAGTTATTTGCCTATGCCTATAAATTCCAGTGTATTCCCTGCTCTTTCCTGCACTAACTTCAAAGTTTTGAGTCTTATATTAAGGTCCTTAATCCACTTTGACATTTGTACAGAGTGAGAGACATGGATCTACTTTCAGTTTTCTGCAGGCAGATATTCAATTTTCCCAGCAACATTTGTTGAAAAGGCTGTCTTTTTTCCATCATGTGTTTTGGGCGCCTTTGTCAAAAATCAGGTGGGCATATCTGTGTGGATTAATAGCTGGGTCTTCTGTTCTTTCCTACTGGTCTTCTTGTCTGTTTTTGTGCCAGTACCATGCTGTTTTTATTGCTATGTCTCTGTGATATAGTTTGGATTATGATATCTCCAGCGTTGCTCTTTTTGCTCAGTATTGCCTTAACTATTTGTAGTCTTGTGTTTCCAAATGAGCTTTTGGGTAGATTTTTCAATCTCTGTGATGAATGTCATTGGGATTTTGATGGGAATTGCATTGAACATATAGATTGATTTTGGTAGTATAGCCATTTTCACAATATTGATTCTGCCAGTCCATGAGCACAGGAGATCTTCTTCGATTTCTTTCTTTGATGGTTTATAGTTTTCATTATAGAAGTTTTCCACTTCCTTTGTTAAACTTATTTCCAGGTATTTTATTTATTCACTTATTATTTGTTTACTTATTTTTGAGGCTATTGTAAGTGGAATTGTTTTCTTATATTCTTATTCAGTCTGTTCATTGTTGGTGTATAGAAAGGTTACTGATTTTTTTTTTTTTTGGGCGTTGGGGTGTCTTGCAAAAATTAGACAGCAGAGAATGGTTTTGATGGGTTTAAGTCTTTTCTCCATGACGTTATATTACAGGCTGGCTCTGCATTTTGTACACACATATAAAGCTTAGTTTGTGCCTGATGTGGTCTTTGAAGGAATTGACAAAATTTGGACTCACATGAAGAAGGCCTCACCTTAGCAATGCTAGAACTCCTTCTGTGTAGCTATTCCTATCTCAAACTAGCAAAAACGCTATGTCCTTCTTATTATTGCTATGTCTACTCCTCAACAAAATTGGAGAAGAGGGCAGTTGATTTTGTATCCTGCTACATTGCTGAAAGTGTTTATGATGTCTAGGAGTTTTTTGCTGGAGTTTTCAGGATCTTTTACATAAACGATCATGTCATCTGCAAATAAGCATAGTTTGATTTCTTCTTGTCCTATTTGAATTCCTTTTATTTCTTTTTCCTTCTTTCTTATTGCTCTGATTAGGAATTCCAAGTCTATGTTGAGTAACAGTGGACAGAGTGGACGCCCTTGTCTTGTTCCTAACTTCACAGGAAACAGTTTCAGTTTTTCCCCATTTAGTATGATGTTGACTATAGGCTTGTCGTACATAGTCTTTATTATGTTGAGGTGTATGCCTTCTATTTCTAGTTTCATCAGCCAGGTCTGTGTTCTTTGTTGGTGCTCCAGGTGATTCTGATTCACCACCAAATGTGTGAACTCAGGGGTCCATGCTCTAGGCTTTCTTTTGCTTTTATTGGTGGTACTGGGGGTTGAACCTAGGGCCTCACACTTGCTAGGCAAGTGCTCTACCACTTGAGCCAGGAATTGAAACCTTTGCTTTTAGTTTGTTTTTTAGATAGGGTCTTGATCTAACTTTGCCTAGGTCAGCCTCTGACATGATCCTCTTACCTCCGTTTCCCATGTAGC